CTCACCTTGGTCTCACCTTCTAGTGGTTTTAATGGACCAAAGCTAGCAAAGGCTGTGTTGCAGCATAAACACCTGCAATATATTAATTATCATTGCCAGGATTTTCATGGATTTTGGACAATAATTTTAATATAAACACTTATTATAGGCTTACCGTAGTGATGCAGGAAAAGTCAAAAACATGGTTTGGAAAATGGATTCATGATGTAGCCTACTCGTTCATTTTGAACATAAGTTACGGACTGCAGCATACAACGGCGTTCTGTTGAGCGTGTGTCCACTCGCACATATGCGACCACATATAATTTCAACTCGCACGTTCTCAAAAGTCGCAATCTGGAACCCTGTGCTAAGTTGTGGAAAAACATGTCTTTGCATTGCCCTCCTTGTGATCTTAACATTAAGATTAACATTTAACATTAAGAAAGCATGGAGTAACTTTATTTTTAACAAAGTTTCAGAGGGTGTCAATAAGACACTGTACATTTCAGGCTTGTGCACAATTCAGAATTGAATTGAGAATGACTACTGAATTCCAATTCAATTCTTGAATTTGAATTGATGTCAAAAACAGGATCCAGAACTGCAATTCAATAAAAATTCGAAGAAATTCATTTAGATATTTTAGGTCAAGTGTTTAACAATGAAGCTTTACAGTACATGTCAGATATGATTGCATTGCATGTTATAAATTATATTAGTGTTAACTACCAGCGATGTTTTCCCCCAGCAATGAATGTCTAGTCACAGAACAAATATTGTAATTATGTGGAACATGATGGAACATGACTCGATTTCCCAGAATTACTTAATTTTAGGGGAAAAAATGTTTTTTAAGGTGGACAAAATACTTAAATGCTTCCACACATGCCAGCATGACAAAACTTGGTGTATTTACTAGTTGCCATTTCAACAATATAGAGCAAAAATTGTGCAAAAATTCAGAAAACTTAATCACTGAACATACATAAATAATGAATTATATTGAGAAAACATGAGAAACATGTAAATAAAGACTGAACTAATAATTATTATTTTGTTTTGAACTATGCTGTATTGCTGTGTTTTCCGGTGTGTTTGTTGTCAAACTCAAAAATTAGGTTATTTTTAATTATTAAAAAATGCATTATTTAATATTTTTGTCATGTGGTGACAGCTTGAAATGTTACAATGTGCCCCTTTCTTTCAGGGTATATCAAGAAAAAATATACACTGTATTAATAAAACAAAACCACATAATTGTACTAGACATGTGGGGAATTAATGTGGGAAAAAAGAAATACTCACATTTTACATGTGCATTTGCACGAACTGAGAAAGTCAAAATGCGTTATGTTGTGCGGTATTTCTTTGAATTGCCATGAGTTTAATTCCAATTCATTCCAATTCAAATTCAACTTCCTGTGGGGCGGAATTAATTCAATTCAAATTCCAGTTCATGAATTGAATGGAGGCCAATTCTGAAATTCGAAATTTTGCACAAGCCTGGTACATTTTTCACTTAATTTTACTTCAGATACATTTTTAAACAAGACACCGTTTGGTGCAGGCGTTTCAGAGAGACAATATAATAAAAGACTATATCCGACAGCTTTGCTTTGTTTGTTATAGATCAGTGGTATTCAAATGGTGGACACAATTGTGCCAGTTTACAATTGAGCAGTCTGTCAAAACAACGGTGGTGTTCACACCACATGCACTCACTTTGCCATAACCAAGACTAATAAAGCATTTGTAATATTTATAAATGTTTCACATAGTTGACAAATGTTTCAACGTAACAGGATATTTTTTAAGTTCTCTGAACAATTCCACTCATGTAATAGCCGGGACATTGAAGTTATTTGAATATTCAAAACTGTTACCTAATCATAACAATGGGCGTTAGTCTTGAGTGTGATACGTCTATCAAAAGTTTCAAAGAGAGGGTCAAAAACAGGATAGACAATTTTAGGATGTCTTTTGATGTAAAAATAAAAAAAATCTTGATAACATTATAAGTGGACCTTATAGAACATTTAAAAAATGCAGTTCATGACCACAGTGTATGACATGGTTCAATAAAGGATCCGTCCATTACGAGAGGCTACTCTACTCTGATTGGCCATGATCAGTCAGATGGCCCAGTCTGTTGTGATCATCGGAAATGAACCGTCCATTAGCCTCAGCTACATCTACAGTGTTTGAGGATGGGTCAAAGTGTTATTTGTGGGCAGCCAGTGAAGACCATAGATGAGCATTATGCAAATTTGTTCCAAAACATGTAGGTTCTTGCAGGATGGAAGAATGGAATTACTTATTCAAGCAGTTAAGAATTTGTTGTGCAGTTTGATCTTTAAACCATTTACATTAACAAACAGCTGTATATAATATACACTAATATCTAAAAAACAAAAAAAACAAAAAAACAAAATGGGGCACTTTAAAAATTGCAAAAAAGATTTGTAATAAATAAAAAGTCTAATCAAGGATTTTGCCTTTCTATTTTATTTTTGTTTAGGAAGTCAATCTGTCAGCCCCAGTTTCCATCACAGAGTTCAGGAAGAGGGGATTGTGGTTCTCCAGAATCATGGCAGTGGGCCACTCCCAGTCCAGCCGTACCCTGCAGAGGAGGTGCTGAGGCCGAGTTTGACCAGAGGAGTGTCCGTCTCCCTCCCTTCCTCCCCTCTGCTCCCTCCCCGTCAACCCTATCTATCGCCCGTCCGGTCAAACAAGTCATCAGGTGCGTACGAGAGCAATTTCAAGTGTCAAGTTCATACGGTACGCACAAAAATGTGCATTTTTACAATGTGAGATCAAATTAAAGATAACAAATACAAGTAATGATCAGGGCTTGACATTAACTTTTTTTGCTCAACCAGCCACTGTGGCTACTGGGTTTCTAAAGTTACTTGCCACTCAGCGTTTTCACTGGCTACAATTTTGACATTGATACCATGGGGTAAAACAGATGTTTTTTGTATTATCTCATAATTTGGCAGCAGGTATATTAGGCTGCTGTCACTTTAAGACCTGACACACGCATCCATTATACTGTTACACATGCGGTTTCTTGTTTTTGTGAAAACTCGCCAAGACCAGCATTTTTGCATTATTGTCTTTGTATTTGACTGTTTAATCTCAATAAGCAGCGAAAAATAATTCAATTTAGTACAGAGAGGAGGCTTTATGTGCACACACTTTGAGTACGAGTACAAAATCTGCGGGATTGAATAAAATTATGTGCAATATGCTCAATCCCACGCCGAAATTCAAGCAATGTTATGGCAACAATATTCATCTGGAGCAAATGAAACGAGTGAGTGTGGGGAAGCAGGTTTGTGTGTCAACTCGCTGTCGAGATATGAGAAAGCATAGCTGGCATTGTATATCTATTATTCAGAAAATTAGTGTTGAGTTTCAGATACCTGTGTATATATATCGATATGTATTGAAAAATCTATATTTTTGAAAACACATTACATTTCATTTCATTTATTATTTCAGATGCCTTTTTAAAAGACTACAATTGATAAATGTATATTGACTATTGAAATTAAATATATATATTAAATTGAATAAAATTCAACCGGTAAAGTGGCTAGTAGGAGTGACTGTTACATGCCATTGCTGATCCACCTCCATTTGGTGGATGTTAATGTCTAGACCTGGTAATGATATATTTATAATAATAAAAAAAGGAATAAAATAAATTGAAAATCCTAGTCTGTTGGAAGGCTCACATATCTTTAGTACATTAAATCAGTACATTAAATGTATTGTGCAGTGAAATATTGGCTGCCCAGATTCTTATTTTTAAATAGTATCTACATATGGATATGAATACATTTTTACTTTGGATTTTTTTGTACAACGTTTATGTGATGCTCAATGCCGAATCGGAGTCCTGAAGCAAAAACATTTCAGAACCACACTGGTCTATGTGACTACCAAACATCACTAAAGTAAGTACTCAAAGGAGGACCGCAAGGGCTGAGGGCGACACAAGCAATCGCCTTATGGGACAAATGTCAGGACCATTGTAAGGTCAAAAGTCACAGCACAAAATTGGGCACAGTTAACTTAAGGATGAGTGTAGGTCATGCAAACTAGACCATAAAATGCAGTTTTTCCCAAATTTGTGATTCCATAAGCTGCACATTTTTAGCTAGCTGCTATAGATCATTTGAGAACTGATGAATTAATCTGTTTCATATACTGTGTATTCTGTGTTATGCAGTGTTGCGTGTAACTAATTACTAAGTAATTAGTTACTGTAATTTAATTACATTTCCCTTGAAAATATAAAGTAAGGGATTACTCTTCATTTATCTGTAATTTAATTACAGTTACTTCTGATCTAATTGAGGTAAATACTGTGTATAGATCAATCCGATCTCACAGCGATTCGTATGCATTTTATGAGGTGTCTAAATATTACGACTGCACTCGTACAAATTCGTATAAATTATTGTAAAATATGTATGAAAAAAGTGTGAAATGTCATGAGATCAGACGTAAAACAATAGTGGGTTTAACATCAAAATGTATTGTCTGATGTTAAAAAGTATGTTTTTATAATGTAATCTTCTCCTCCTTGGTAAGTTTAAGGATAATTCATGCAATTTTATAGTATTTATTTGAAAGAATTAAAAGAGATTCATGTCTATCCTTGTGTTATTCAGATGGTTGAGATTGATATGGGATTTTAAAAGTAATTAGTAATTAAATGTAATTAAATACTTTTTAGAGAGAGTAATTGTTGAAGAGGGAATTAGTAACTAGTAATTAATTACTTTTTTCAAGTAACTTACCCAACACTGGTGTTATGTTATCATTGTGGTATTGTTAGCTCTTTGCTGATTCATGTTGAGAGCTGCCAATCATATGGGAGAGACTTGGCAGTTTCTGGGAACTTGGCAAAAACTTGCTCGATATTTTGGGCTGGCTACACACAGCTATTGTTCTACCCAATCTTTGTGATTTTGAAACCCACATCAGCCCTATGTGCTGCTGAATTAAAAGTGTTTTTTAATTAGAATGCTTTATAGAACACATTTTCTATAAAAAAACATTCAGAAATGTAACAAATGTTACCATTAATCAACATGATTCATTCCTGATTGACTTTTAATGTAAAATGGAGCAATTTACAGCATTTGCAATCATGCTTTATAAAATTTACCTTGTTATCTGTCATAAATTTCCCCAAAGGGTCCTTAAAGTTTTTTGTTAATGGCAGCATTCCTGTGCCTGCAATGCTGTGTCTGTTCCTGTGGGGGGCGGTATAGACCAATTTTCAACATGAATTCAAAATGTGCTTATTTTTGCTCATTTATAGCTCATTTTAACATTTATTCACATCATTTAAAAAAATAGAATACTTTTCATTGGTGTCAATCAAGTCATTGTCAAATTTGTCCTATAATCAATAGCACTAGGCATAATGTCACTTCATATGTAAACGCTGAGTCATGTTTATTTTAATACAGAGATAAAGCATTTCTTAGACTTACCTTGTAGCAAACACTTTTCATCCACAGTATCGTACTGAATGCTTTAAGTAATTACTGTACATGGACCGTCTTCATCTGGAAACCTGTAAGTGATCGCACTAAGTGTCCAGTTCCTGAGTCAAACTTGATTTGATCCTACAACCTTATAACCTCACAGATTCGTTCGCTATCGTTGTCTTCCAAACAATCATTAAATATGTAATGCAATATTACCAAAGGTGCAAGAATAATCTGAAAAGTCGAGATGCATTATAAATCTTCAGCTAATTAAGTGATAAACAGTCCAAACTGATTTTTGGGAATGCTTCTGCTATGTTGTCATTTCACATAGGCTTTTTTATGTGAGTAATCAAAACAAAACTCTCAAGATATGAAGATTATTTCTCAACAAGTGTATGGGGGATGAACTTCAGTTAGTAAGTGGGGAAGATATATGTCAGTTATAATGGTTACAGCGCTGAAAATGACTGCCATAACTGAGCGGCAGTGGAGATGTCTGTCCTTATTCATGTTTCATGCTCCTGTCTGATGTTTGATGAGCCGATGTGAAGTTAAATGGAAGAAATGTTCTTACAGAGCGAGCAAGGGCTGTGAATGAGCTGATTCAGCTGGCGGGTTAACCCTGAAACAGTATTTTCTATTTTATTTGATGTATTATTTGCTCTAGTATTATAGACCAAATTCTAAACTATGATTATGGTTTGGGGTCAGTAAGTTTTTGATTTTAAGAAATTATTACTTTTGTTTATCAAGGATCCATTCAATTGATCAAACATGACAAGAAAGACTTTTACAAAATGTTCAATTTAAAATAAATGCTGTTATTTTGAACTTCCTATTCATCAAAGAATCCTTAGAAAAATGCATCATGGTTTCCACAAAAAATATTATTGAACTGTTTTTAACACTGATAATAAAAATTAAAAAATGTAAAAAAAAAAAAAAATGTTAATAAAAATAAAAAAAACACCAAATCAGCATGTTTTTTGAAGGATCATGTGACACTAAAGACTGAAAATTCAGCTTTGCCGTTAAAGGAATAAATTACATTTTTAAATAACTGTAATATTTATATTAATTGATTGCAATAAAATTTCATAATATTACAGTTATTATCATGTTTTTTTTAATCAAATAAATGAAGCCTTGGTGAGCAGAGACCTTTTTTCTTTCAAAAACATAAAATTCTTATGACCCCAAACATTTGAACTGTAGTGTTGCAAAATTTACGATTTTTATTTTATTTTACTGTATTCATTTCTTTATTGTCTATTTCTCTACTCTAAGTGCGTTTCATGCTTTGGCAATGTTGTATATGTCGACAATCATGGCAATAAAGCTTGTCTCTGACTCCACGGACACAGGAGGGACTGCTCAGGGAGATTAAAATCATTACAGACTCCTTGTTTATTCTGGAATCTCTTTGGTAGTACAGGACAGCCGATCACAACCATCACACACACACTCTCGCACACAAACCGATCCGCACGCAGCTCTGCCCGGAGATTCAGATCGCCAGCCTCACAATCCCATCTGGAAAGACTTAACTGTCTCTGTGTGTGTGTGTGCGTGTGCATGTGCGTGTGTGTATCTCTCTCTCTCTCTCTCTCTCTCACTCACACACTCTGTCTCTCTCATTTTTGCTCTGTCTCCAGGTTCAATCAGGACACCCAAATATGTGGAGAATCCGCATGCTCCTGGAGATCCTGTCACCTGTGCTCTGAGGAACAGGAATAAGAACAACACTGGTGAGTACTTCTGTGTGTCTGTGTGTGTACCGGTAAGTCAGTTAATAAATATTTTGTATTTTTATATTCATTCATCTTTGTGTGTGGGTCAGGTTTGTTACATTATGGGGACCAGATTTCCCCATAAGAATAGAAAAGAGATAACTAGACATGCATGACTAAATAAATATTAAATACCTCCTTAATGAAAATGCATGTGTGAGGGTTAAGTTTAGGGGATATAAAATATAACAACCTCAATATAAAAACCATAAAATTCAATGGAAAGTCCCCACAGTGTTTGAGTGAGATTTGCCCTTGTTGTAAACTGAGGGATGGTGTTTTTAAGATGTGGGGAGTTACATGAATTTACTGCTGAGAGTTCAGTAAATCCAGCAGTCCATTAAACCACATTCCTCCCTCCCTCTGTCTCTCTGTTTTACTTAGTATACTTCTGTCTTCTAGGGCCAATCTTTCTCCTGCTTGCGTTCTTGCTCACTGTTTAATGCTGCCTTCTGTTTACACAGTATGTGTTGGTGTGGCCATTGATTTGCTCTATCGGTCATTTTGGTGACGTGATGCTAGGATGGCAAAAATCAACTCTGCATTGTTAAATCTTATTGATCCCTGGAATGTGTGTGTGGTATTTGGAGGGTTACAGGTGAACACATACAATTCTTGATTATTGTACTCATGCATATACAACTGCTGAGTGGAGTTGGACAGTGAAGTCCAAATGTTTAAGACCACTAGTTGAAATGTTTTTATTTGACTTCCTCTCCTAATTTAATACTATTTTGTTAGAAATTATATTAATTGCATAAAGTAATTAAAGGGGTGGTTTACTGCTTTTTTTTCTTTGCATGATCGTGTTTATGGGGTGCAATATAACATGTATTCGTGGTTTTTCTTTTTTAAAAAGTCTTATTTTTCATAAATTTCACCTTTATTGTAAGCCGCGTTCTCCTCCGTCCTCTGAACGACCGGTTGACTTCCTGATTCTATGAAACCACTCCCTCACAAACAGACAGTGGGCTTAGATTGGTTAGTTTGGGCCGTTGTGTTGTGAATGGCTAAACTCACGTTGTCCGGAAGGTTCACTCCTATTCCCTTTACGGGTGAAACTTGCATGTGCAAGTAAATGATGGTGTCGATACTGCAGTATCAGAGCCAGATTCAAGAGATGAAGAGAGTCAAGCAGAACCTCCCTAAACACAGCTCTTAAAAAAACGTTTCTGAATGGTAATTTGCCTATATTTTTTTAACTTTATACTCGTTTGTTTTACAATGACTGGCTACTAACATTATATACACAAAAAGGGGCGGCATTGGTTTACGTTCTTGATAAAATTGAAAATAACGTCATAAAGTATATATATATATATACATGAAAATACATTTAAAACACTAGTACTTATACAAAATTCAGGTCCAAAATGTTTGAACGCGTTTGCCGTTGACACAAAATAGCATAACTAGTAGCCTAGTGGCTATAAAGCCAGCGCTGGCATTTAAAAAAATAAAACACAAGGCTACGTCTGAAATTATACATGCAAGTTGTGGCCCAACAACGGCTGCCTCTGGTTTTAAAGTTGGAACTGCTTCATGTTTTAATAACAGTTTCTTGTTGAATTCGTGGAGATTCTGGAAGCTGTCTTCCGTAAAATGCACACCACAGAGAGCTAAATTACGATTGTCATTTTCAGGAACATAATCAAACATAAATTGTATCCATTGTTGACGAAGTAGCGTCCGTGGGAAGCTCGAACACAGAAGACCTGACAGCTGGGTGAACACAACACACTCGACGAGCCGCAGAAATATGGCCATGCCCTTTTTTGCATATTCCGGAGGGAGGGTTGATGTAAATGTATGGGTTAGTGATGTCTAAAACCCAGCTGTAGTCCCAATCGAGATTGTTTTTGTAGGCATTATACTTCCTGATTTTTAAATGCTCACACTGAACTTTCAGCGCTGCAACTTTGCAGATACTGTTCATGCACCAACAGCAACATTACGCACTATTTAAAATGAAAAAAGTAAAATCGCAATAAAAAAACAAAGTTAATTTACAAATCTTTATTTGGGACTGTATGTGTATGTGTCAGTTTCTCTACCAAGAATGGTGACACAAAACAAAACGTTGCACTTTTCTAAGCGGAATACCACAGCAAGTGATTGTGAGCACTTCGACTCGGCGCATATCTATCTATGGACTCGGCGTAGTAATATCATCACTCTGGAGAGGGAGAGGACTTTTCACGAGTGATGATATTACTACACCGAGTCGAAGTGCTCCCTTGCACTTGTTTTCCATAGTTTAATTTGAAAAAAAAACGGTTGAGTATCTCTTTAATGACAGCACCTGAGTTGCATGAAGCCAGAAACCCAATGTTCTCAGCATGATTTACAATGTTACAGAGAGCATCTTTTGCTTCAATGAAAGCAAGAATAGCTGACATCTGTACAAAAATCACATGGTCACTTGGTCAGTGTCACAATGTTTATATTTGATTAGTGACCTAGGAGTACCACACAACCTGAAATCTTCTTTAGCGTTTATCCCGCATAGTAGCAGGGTCCTCTTTTCTGGATCGCTGGCGCCATTTGATGCGATGACGTTCTAATTCTTTTGTCATAAAGAGCAACAGGACAAATGACGGTATGGTAGATCTTCGACTTGAGACAGTCACTGGTCTTCCAATCACATGTGAAACTGGTTATTGTGCACTATTTCAGCCAGGAAGCATTGACTCGCGCAGGGACTTCCTGGTTCAGGCTGCATATTTGAAAAAAGTACAAATCGTAATACTGTGAAATAGTATTAACTGCTTTCTATTTTAATATAAAAAAAAATGTATTCCTGTGATGGCAAAGCCAAAACACATGAATGCACACAGACAGAGCAGAGTCTGCAAAGCATCACGAGAGCTCTGACTTGTACCACCTGACTGCTGCAGATTTATTTCGGCTTTGATAGTGTTGCCGTTAAAACGTATAATTCCGAGGACATGAACCGCTCCGAGTAGGGTTTGACGTCTCATAAAGTCCCTGTAAAGGCTATTCTACAAAAAAATTCTAAACACTTTATAAATGTTACAAATGTATTGCTAAAACATATTACAAAGTCTGTGAACAGTGAAGTACTGAATTGTGGAGGCTATTTGCTATTTTCCGGATTTTTTTGGGCGTGTCTAAAACAGGGCTCAATGATGCACTGGAGCCCATGAGCTCCTGGACATGCCCCTACTTGATGACGCACTGAGGGTACTGAGGCAGCCCCCACTAACAATAGAACACATTCGCATCTTCTTTATTTAAAAACAGAGAATACTGCTCATTTCTTCAAGACTTTGATAGCTTATTTTATGTACTTGTCGGCTTTTTTATCATTCAAATTTGGCTGGGTGGCTAATAACACATTTTTCTGTGGTGTGACAAACTCAGAACAAAATAATTTTGACTTTACAGGGACTTTAATGTCATTAAGGTAAATATGAGGCATGAAAGCAAATTTTTTTTTGCAAACTTTTTTTTGGTTCTGTGACTTCCAAAGAATGTACTTTTTTTTATATATATATTTAGACCATTTATATTATTGATTGATATCAGGATGTGGAGAGTTTCAACCAGTGTAACAAAGTGTTTATAAAAAACTTTGCTTACCCTATCTAATAGAGCTTCAAAAGACACATTTCACCGCACTGGTCACTGTAACACTCTCACTTCTGATAGTTTAGGCCAGGTTTACACAAATCCGGGTATTTAGAGAGATAAATATTTTCCCTCTCTCCGTTTTCAATAATAACATCGTGCGCACACCCGCATAAATACGCCGTCGAGCGCCATCATATCTATGCCAAACTTATGGGCGGCAGTGTAGGGAGAAGGATAAAGCCATGCAAGCCAATCAGAATCCTCAGAATCGACAAGAGAGAACCTAAAACCCCTTTTCTCCCAGTTGACACGACAACACATAACCGGCGTTTTCAGAAATCTCCACTTTGGCCGGAGTTTTTAGAAATAATAAATCCCTTTGTGTAAACAGGGCCTTAATGTGTCCTTGCTGATTAATAGTAAAATAAAATCCTAAAAGTTGATTTCCAGGTAAAATACAAAGATCTGTCATGAAACTCTTGATGGCGCAGGCTGATGGGTCTGTTTGCAATCAGATCATTCTCTAGAAAGCAGCTGATTCGTTCCTGCTCTATCAGTAGCCAATGAGCTCACTGCTCAACCTTAAAATACCGGTCAGCCTTTTCTTTAGCAGATGCAGCGTGCTTTCAGAAACCCTTCACCCTCCCCAGCTCCACCTGTGTAGATCTACTATGGGTAATTCATGTACGGTATATTGCGCATCAGCAGTCTTACTTGCTCACAGTAGTGTGTCATGTATGTATTTTGCAAGATGTAAACAAACCTACATAAAAGCTGGGATAAAATACAACGGAACATATAAAAATAAAGAAAAAGTGTTTCTGGACCAGTGTTGTTTACATCTTGCAAAATGGTCTATTGGCAGTAGCAAGTCCTGTACCTGCTTTCATCCACATAGCAGATCTATTCCGTCAAGACCAAATTTATCAACATTGTCATATCCGTTACAATTCGAAACACTATGAGAATTGCCATGACAGAACTGGGAAAAAAAAAAATATCTCAGATTTTCTTAGTAGCCTCAGACGTTTGCTCCCCACTGTACATAAACACTGTACAATGCAAATATTACCATCTTAAAGTAGAGTGCAGTTATTTTCACATTCATGGACAGGACACACAAAAACACACACAGATGACAAAGTCACAAACATTCTCAAATCAAAAGTCATTCTTTTTTGGACCATGTCCCGAGACACCTCTGTTCTATTTTTTGCAATCATAATGGTTTCTTTGGCATTTAACAAATTTATACATTGGTGCATCTACAAATGATTAATTATGAAGCAGTGACACCTCCACCGTTTGATAATGCAGATCTCACGATGCGATGGCCAACTCCAGATGATCCTGCCGTACATGCA